AATTATGTCCCGAAATTCCCAAATCGAGCACGTGAACCAAAAAAGGGCTTAGTATTTTAATATTTTAATTATTTATTTGAGATTTGGTTAAGGAATTGATTCAATAAAATATTTTATGAAGGTACTCGTGTTTCACCTGAGCGAGGATCAGTTAGGTCCGGAGTTGTTCGTTCGTCAGATCAGCTCGAACCGCGTACTACAAGAATTACCCGTAGGTTTCCGTATATTATTTAAATAAATATTAAGATTATTTATATTAGGATTCCAATATGGATTTTTCCAATTCGTAGGATCTACTGCTGCAGCAGAGCGTGATCGACAAACCCAGTAGTAGGCTTCCCTATCTGATTTCTCATACTGTTACAGGTGTGTTTCCTGACAGTATTACATTACTGTTTTAAAATGATTCATCTGAGTACCAAGTATTTGATATCTGATTTAATGTATATTCCGATATAATTTCTGGATTAAGGTATTTCATACCGATTTCTGAAATCTGATTATCTGACATCTGAATTACCATATATTACTGTTTTGAATTCTGATTTCCGTATTTCTGCATATGGTTTCCAAGTATGAAACATTTTTATGTTTTAAGTGATTAATCATTGTTTTCACTTGAATACATTCATGTTTAATATTGTCATTGGGGGGTATTGTCGAAGGAAGATTATCTGCAGACTCCTCGGCTTTGTGCTCAGGGTCTAAATGGCATGTGTGGTTGGGTGTATGGTTCTGGGGAACCTACACATTTATGATGTGAACGGATGGGGGTAGTGTTCATGTTTTAAAAACATGTTGCATAAACCGATTTTATTGAAAGTTTTATCTGTATGTTTTTTTATATACTGTATGGAGCACACTGGGCTTTTTAGCTAATTTTGTAGTTTTTAACATTTTTCAGATAACAGCAGACCGTAAGCTAGCAGATTTGGCATCAGGGGAGATCAACTACTTATTTTGTACGAACGTATATCTCTATATGTTTTTCGGTTATGATTGGTGACATGTATTTGCTATCGTTTTGGATATATCTGTATTATTAATATTTTGTTCTATATTATATCTAATGTATTTTAAGAAGAAAAAAGAAACTCTGAATGGGATATGTGACCACTTAGATTTGGGTCTAACTTACAGATCAGGTCTGGAGGGTTACATTTGGGCGGATCCTACTTACAACATAGTAGTCTCGGATGTTTTCGAGATCACGAGTAAAATTCAAAAATAAATTCTTAACAAAAGTATATTTTATTACTTTAGATAAATAATTCAATATTATATTAATAAGTCGTAGAAAAATGAATAAATTTTTTCAAACATTATGTTTATTATTTTGTTAAGAAAACACCTTACATACAAAAAAAATAAATTTAATTTGGGTATAATATGAGCCATGATTTTGAACGATAAATGAAAAAAACATAAATAATAGTGTATTTTTGGACTAAATTGGATCATGGAAAAGGTATCGGCCTCGTCAAAATTAAATTTTCAATATGTTTTGATCTATTAGAATTACTTAACGGTATTAGTTAAAGTGATTTTTGTTTGATGAATAATTAATCTATCAATTGACTTTAATTTGAGAGAATTATTAATGAGGTGTGCTAACATCGGTGCAAGTCAACATTGATAGTTTAGTAAATGAAATAACTAACTCACACTAGTGTAAGTTAGTGTTGTCAATTAAATCAGTTAAAACCGACTAATGCTCACCACTACTAACATATTTGATGTGATATGAATCAATGTAGTTGTGGTCTATATGTGTTAATTATTTTGAGTTATAATAGCAACATGTTAAATTAAGTTCCAGAGATAAATGAAACTTGATAAAAACTAATTTTCAATTTTTAATTGTGAGAAGAGACTGTAAAAGATCTAATTGTTATGCTTATGAATTACAGTAATTGACAAAATATTAGTCATAAATCACAATCTTCACCCAAATTTCATGTGCATGTGTTTGGCTCGACAATGAATGAACATGTTTTATCTTTCAAAATCATCATTAAACGTATATGGCTTCTTTCCAAGTTGCTAACTTTTGTATCTTCTTCTTCAAAGCAAACCCATGCAACCATGTCCATTTTAAAGCTTTCATCGATCAAGCTTTTACCTCCTAAATTGCAACCCAAGATATTGTTTCAAGAATCAAAGATTATAGATGAATTCGTCAACACTATCCTAACAAGAAAAAAGACGAGAGATCATTGTTTCAAGCAAACTCATCTGCTTCAATAACTACCTTACAACAACTTTTTGTTGTTTTAGAGGCAGTAGTCGATAGAATGAAGATAAAACATATTTATTCATTGTCGAGCCAAACACATGCACATGAAGTTTGGGTGAAAATTGTGACTTATGATTAATATTTTTGTCATTTATTGTGGTAAATAGGCATACCAACTTAGATCACTACCTATAGTCTCTTTTGGCAATTGAAAACTAACAATAAGCTTTCATCAAGTATCATTTATCTCTGGAACTTAATCTAACATGTTGCTATTATAACCCAAAATAATTAATACATTTAGACCACAACTATATTGATTCATATCACATTAAATACATTAGTAGGGGTGAGTATTATTCGGTTTTAATCGATTTAACGCACAACACTAACTTACACCAGTGTAAGTTAGTTATTTCATTTACTAAACTATCAACACTAATTTACATTGGTATAAGTTAGTCATTTCATTTACTAAACTATCAATACTGACTTACACAGTGTTATCATAGCTCATTAATAATTCGCTAAAATTAAAGTCAATTGATGGATTAGTTTTCATCAAACAGAAATCACTTTAATTAATACCGTTAAGTAATTCTAATGGATCGAAGCATATCAAAATAATAATATATTGAAATTTTAATTTTGATGAGGCCGATACTTTCCCCCATGATCCAATTTAGTCCAAAAAATTTTAATAAGTCCTCAAGTAATCTTGAGTTTCAGAAATTATAAAAATTGACCCTATATTTAGTATTAAATCTCTAACTCGATAGTCAATTTTTATAATTTCTCAAACTCAAGATTACTTGAGGACTTATTGAAAATTTTTGGACTAAATTGGATCATGGAAGAAGGTATCGACCTCATGAAAATTAAAGTTTCAATATATTATTATTTTGATATGTTTTAATCCATTAGAATTACTTAACAATATTAGTTAAAGATTTTTGTTTGGTGAACAATTAATCCATCAGCTGGTTTTAATTTGAGCGAATTATTAATGAGGTGTGCTAACACCGGTGTAAGTCAGCGTTGATAGTTTAGTAAATGAAACTGATGTAAGTCAGTGTTATTAGTTAAATATTAAAACCAAATAATGCTCACCCCTACTAATGTATTTGATGTGATCTGAATCAATGTAGTTGTGGTCTATGTGTATTAATTATTTTGGGTTATAATAACAACATGTTAGATTAAGTTCCAGAGATAAATGATACTTGATGAAAGCTTTATGTGAATTTTCAATTGCCAAAAGAGACTTTAGGTAGTGATCTAAATTGGTATGCCAGTGAATTACAATAAGTGACAATACATTAGTCATAAGTCACAATTTTTACCCAAACATGTGCATGTGTTTGGCTCGATAGTAAATGAATCAGTTTTATCTCCATTCCATAGATTACTGCCTCTAAGACAACAAAAAGTTGTAAGGTAGCCATTGAAGCAGGCGAGTTTGCTTGAAACAATGATCTCGTTAACTTTTTTTCCCGTTGAGATCGTGTTGATGAATTCATCTCTAATCTTTGATTCTTGAGACAATAACTTAGGTTGCAATTTAAGAGGTGAAAACTTGATCGATGAAAGCGTTGGGAAGGACATGGCTACATAGGTTTGCTTTGAAGAAGAAGATACAAAAGTTAACCGCTTGTAAAGAAGTCATATACGTTTAATGATGATTTCAGAAGGAAAAAAAGTTGGGTAATCAAAATAAAATTGTAAGAATAGTTAAGTGATTAAATATGTAATTTACCCTTGATATTTTTAATGGAGTTAACGATTTGAGGCAAACGAGATAACATTTTAAACTTTAGGAGAAAAACGTCTTAAAATATATTTTAAGGGCTAACTCGATACAAATAGCATAGTTTAAGGGGCGATGATGCATTTAAACCTATTTTATATAAATTCTTAAATTCTTAATATCATTCTATTTTTATTTTCTGTTCATAAATTAATTCTATTAGTTAAAATTTTAGTGTATTTTTGAAAGGTTTAGAAAATAGATATGTGACCTAAAAATATTTAAAGTCATTAAAAATAGATTAATTTTTTAAAATTACCAGTTTAATCTTTAGAATCTTCAAAAGTAAATTATTTTTTTAATTAAAAAAATTAATGACACATTAAGAAAAATGTTAAATACTGCCCTCAAATTAAAATAATAAAATTTATAAGATTATGGTGAAAAAGTTCTATGGGGTGCATAAAATTTTGAAAAAGTATATGGAAAAAAGTGTAATACAGTTGAAAATAAAATCAACACGTGAGGTAAGTATGACTCGTAGGGAAACATTGTGGATAATTTAGGCATTGGAATGGTAACAAAAGCAAGAGATATATTTATTTAGTCATTCGACTATTATTTTTTTAAATTATACTTAAAGTTATAATTTTATTTTTTATTTATTAAATATCATTAAAAAGTTAATAGTGATACTGACGTATTACTGTAAGATATTACTTTATCATCATTAAAAAATAAAAAGTTGTCAAGGTCAATAGTTCTATTTTTTTTAACAACGGTAACCAAAATAAAACATAAACTTAATATTACAAATGATTTTGAAATAAATAATATTTTGATAACCAAATAGAATAAAAGTGATAGTTGGATGACTAAATATGTAGTTTAGCCCAAACGTAAGCTCTTGACTGGAACTATTGGCTTCGTGTTTTTTTACATTCGATAAACTTGAGCGGACGCATGTCTTTGAAAAACCCTAATTTCACCCTTGTCTTTAATTCCCATCCCCCATTTCTCTATCTAAATCCTATCCTAAAAGAAAAGGAGAGCCAGATCGTGTATTACATTGGAAACAAAATCAATTGCTCATCTATATCTTCTCTCAGACATCGTTTCCTATTTTCCATTTGTTTCTTTCTTTTTCTTCTAATTTTTCCTTGTTTTCCATAACTGTCTTTGTTGTAAACTAGGGTTTGCTCTGATTGTGGATTTTGTCTGTTGCAATTAGGTCGTTTCTGAGATAATTTTTATTTCTCATGTAAGGGAAGTGTGGTTGTAGTGGCTTCCCAAATATATAATCCTGTGAGTATTCTCTACTTCTCTCTGCAACTGCAAGCATTTTTTTAATGGTTGTTAGTGGAATTGTAATTTATGAAAGCTACGATTCATTTTTTATGCCATTGTTTCATTTCTGAAGTCGGGATTTGGAAAATTCTGAGCTGAAAATGAATATATTATTGTTTGTTATGCGTTAATTTTCTTCGGTATTTGCTCATTCTTGGGAGAAAGTAGATGTTTCTTGTACATTTATTTTGTCTAGGAAAATCAGGTTAAAAACTAATGTGTTGTCAAGAGGTCTTTTCCTGACTCAATGCCTTTTTTTGGGGTTCATTTCTGGGAATTAATCTCTATGTTGTGTTGCATTATTCAAATTGTTTAAACTGTTAGAGATCGTGCCTTTCGCTCCATTATTGCTTCTAGCTTGTAAGTATGATTTATTTTAACATGTTTTCTTTGGACTTGTTGGTTTTCTCTTTCTATTGTACATCATTTACAAGAGTCTTACCTTTTTTGTGACTGAGGAATATGATACTTTCTAGTAGGTTTAGGAGGTGAGATTTGGTTGGAGAAGATGTCTTCGAAGTATCAAATACTTGACAATAGACCCATTGATAAATGGAAGGTTACTGAGTTGAGAAAAGAACTTAAAAGGCGGAAATTGTCAACTAGGGGCTTGAAAGAGGACTTGGTAAAACGTTTGGATGAAGCGCTTAGAATGGAGAAGGAAATACCGGAAACGAGGAAGATAATGGTTTAAATTCTGATCCCCAGCCTATAAATGAGGGAGGGATTGAAAAGGTGACGCCGGTTATTGTAGAGACAATTAAAACTATTGTGGACCATAGTGACTGTGAGATTAAGGAGAGTGGAGTGAAGGTTCAGGTTGACATTAATGAGAGTGCAGCTTCTTTGGGTCATGAAGGAATTCAGGAAAGGGACATCATGATGCAAGAGGAGCTCATTGCTCAAACCACCACTTTTCAGACCAAGATAACAGTTACCAAGGATATGGTATCTGAGGTACCATTGCTTGGACAAGATTTGCAGAGCTCAGGAAAAAATGAGAATGTGAATACTGATATCACAGTGGAGTGTGAGGATCCTAAGCCCCAGTTAGAGAGTGAGGATACAAAGGCCAGGTTTAAGGATGAGGGTTCAAAGCCTGAGGTGGAGACTGAGGGTCCAAAGGCTGAAGTGAGGAATGAAGAACCCAAGGGCCAGCTGGAGTGTGTGAGTTCAAAGCCTCAGCTGGACATTGAAGATTCGAAGGTCCAGCCGGAAAATGATGGTTCAAAGGCTCCACATGAGGATGACATGCTGGGAATCCTTCCCACATGATCAACGTACAAATTCCATATTTTGTTTCTCTTAAAATTATGTTTGGATACATCACATCTTTCATGTTTTGCCGCTGTTAATTGCTTTTTCTTGTTTCTTTCTTCCTGCAGCTCCCGAAGAGGAAACGAATGTTCCTAAAATTCAACTTGCTATGTGGGTTTGTATTTTTCTCCTTCTACGTTTATTTTCGACAGCTGTTATTGAAGCTTTTATGTGTTTGCAGAATTTGTAATGAGGAAATTTTGGTCGATCAAATATTGGATGATATCCCTAACTTAGGGTGTCTTTGATAAAGCATTAACCATAAGTTTTGAATAGTTTAATTTCTTTAATGTCTTTGATAACTGGGGTATGTTAATCTTATTTAATAAAAAAAATCACAAAAAAAGTTTTTAATGTGATAAGTAGTTCTACTAATCTTTTAGATGCAGAATATGTTGCAAATTTTTATTTAAACTTTCTTCTAACGAAAGATGAGATGTTTAATTTTTTATTTTATTTTATTTTATTTAGAACTATTTAAAATAATATAAAATGTTATGTTAATAAGCTTAACATTGTGAAATGAATAGGTTTCAACATTCAATATATATAGGTGTCAAATAACGGATTTATATTGAGTACTTCATTTTCAGAAATATGCTAAACGGATTTTATGATACAAATTCAATACTTAAATTCAATATTTATTGCTTTTATGGTAAAATAAAGTTTAAATTGATTGAAAGTTATGATCCAAATAAATTGACATCACAGTGGGTATGGATTTAATTGAAAAAAATAACAGTTAACAGTTGAAATGAATTTTTAAATTTAAAATTTAAATAAATTAAATTCTTAAAAATAAAAATTAACTGAATTTCAAATGTATAGAAGAAATATATGAATTTGAAATATTTTTTAACTTAAATTTAAGAAGGTGCAAAGGACCTTCAGGTATAGTGGGGTTCTATGGTGCAATGTACTAGTTAGTATCTACATACAATTTTAGAAGGTAATCTTGACATAAAAGTCCAACCATAACCATCTATATCTAAAGGTGCAAAGGACATCATTAAGAATTTCTTAGCCAAGGACTCTAAGCAACGGATTACAGTTGCTGAAGTCCTAAGTAAAAGATTAAGATTCCGGAGATCTTATTAGGCACAACCCTCCAAGACAAAAAAGAAAGATTTCAAATGTTTCCATTTTGTGTATATGAACCATACACAATACAAAGAGAGAAAAATGAGACAATGGAAAATCATAGCAAAAGAGACCATGGAAAATCATAGCAAATGAGATAATCCAAAGATTTCAAATCTTTCTATATCCAGGAAAATTTCCTGGGATATCGCAAACCATTTTATTTAGGTAGGTTTCATGCAAAGTTTTTAGGATTTCTTTTTCATCTTCGACTCTATTTCCATCTTTATTATTTTGTGCTCTCGTGTAAGCAAGCTGATTGAGTTTTCTGGGAGCCCAACAAAACTCACATGCATCCAGATGTTCGATTTTGTGGAAAAAGTCCCTGCATTTTTAATTAATTATTAATTGAAAAATATAAAATAATTTTTAATAAAAAATTGAATATTACTAATACTTACGAAAATTTTGTAGCTAACTTAGTATTTATCTTATCTCCGCTTAATTCCTTGGTAGAAAGGATTTTGAAAATATCCTTTCGATCCATCTTAACCCGCAGTGCCTTTTTTTTTAATATTTTTTCTTTGAAAATATTCGAGCACCCAATCGAAGGTGGCAAATGCAGTCTGAAGTTTGGCTAAGTATGTATCGTCGATATCCAATTCAAATTGCACGTGATCTAGAATTTCTTCTGCCCAATTTTGTAAGACAGCTCCACCGCCCGAGTAATTGTTTGTGCATGAAGCGTCAACGGAAACTAAATAACAGCTGAAAATACAATTATCTTAGTTCATACAAGATAAAATAAATAAAGAAATAGTATAAATAAATTTTTAATAAAATATAAATTAATTCTTACCCTATTTCGAGATCATTCCAGTAATGGATCACATTAGGAGTAATAATTGCGGCACTGTAATCATTGTAATCAATTCTTACGTTGCGAGACTGCATGTTCTCTAGAATGTTTAAAACTGTTGGGAATCACGGTCTTTCCCGCTTCGTGAAGTTAAGATATGCACTTAGAGATTAAGGATAGTAAAGAGAGAACAAGAGTATAATTCTTCAATTTGGAGATTTTTCCACTATACAAAAGAATAGTAGGATTACAAGGATGTGTTCACAAAATGACTCACACTTGGTGGCTCACTCAAGCTTGAGGGTAAAGACTTCCCAAGCTATCTCTCTTCTCTCTCAAAGAGGCTCTCTAACTCTCTAGTTTCTCACTCTAAGAAGTGGACTCTCTTAATGTTTTTGGAACTCTTGTATGGTTAGGAATGAAGTCTCTCACCCCTATTTATACTACTCCACCTCCACAATGAATGGTGGAGATTACTTACATCCAAGGGTGGAGATTATTTATATAGAATGCTCCACACACTCTAAGGAATTCTACACTCTTCCATTCCCTTCCATATTCTTCCACACTCTTCCATAAGGATCCACACTACTCCACAAGGTTCCACACATCTCCAGAATATTCCAGAGGATTCCACACTCTTCCACAAGCTTCTAGAGAGTTCTACACTTCTCTAGAGTTCTCCGGAATGTTCTATAAAATTCTACACTTCTCTAGAAAGCTATAGAAATTTCTAGAACCTCTCCAATTAAGGAGAGATCCAACATGAACATACATATCACCTGCATTTTTTATCCAGTTGACTAAGCTTCCAATGTTGATTTCTCTTCTAAAGTCACCTTTGTTTATTTTTAACACTCTTTTTTCGTATTCATGTATTTCATCTTTAAATTTGTGTAAGATTTCTTCTACTTGTTCCGAAGATAAAATGGTGAAGTCAGGTATTTTTTCTGCATGCAAGGAAAAATTATTTCAAATAAATCTCAATAAATAATTTGATTATTCACTACTAACATCAGCTAATTTAATCATCAAATTTTCTAAGCGGCTCGCATGCAAGATTGATTCAGCCACCAAAGCTTACATTACAATAAAATTTCATCATTGTCGAGGGACTAAACTCGTGCCCTTTGACATTGGTTCAGCTACATCCACTTCGTCTAAGTCTTGGTTGAGTTATGAACTAATACAAAAAATTATGTAACTCTTTCAAATTGAACATGTCTTATTTAATTTTTTGTCTATTTGTTAGGTCAACATTTCTAGATATATAAGTGGACATAATGCTAATGGAGATTGTCTGTCCCTCGTTGGTGCCCCGCTCCGTGTCCTTTGCACCATAAAGCGTCACGTAATAATATATATTAGTTTTATATTTGAGTTTGAACTTTTTTCTATACAATTTATTTATTTAATGACAAATATCAATTCAAATTAAATTATACTAAATAATATTTTAGTTATATATTTATTTATATTTATATTATGTATTTTCAGAAAAATATTTATATTATATACATTATTATAATAATTTGACTTTAAAAAAATTAATCATTTTTATAAATAATTAAATATATCAATTGTTTAAAATCATTTAATAGTTTAAAATTACCATTTTTTAAATAATTTAGGGTGATTATAATATAATATTTGTTCATAATATTTTTTAACCTTTGACAACATAACACACCCTGTAGACGTGGATGCTCGAATCCAGAATCTCAAAAGAAAACAAAATTTATTTTAAGCGTCGAGGAAATTCAATGAGTTTTTAGAATAATTGTTTATAATAATTAACATAATCTAATAAAATTATTGTTTTAAAATTAGTTCTTTTTATATTAAATGTATCAATTGATATGATATCGATAACAATAATTTTAATCTTAAATTATTAAAATAATCTAATAAAAATTTACAAAATATAATTTATCTCTAAATTGAATAATTTCAATACATTATTAAAATATTTTTTATATTTAATATTTTACATAGATGATATTTTGTTAAAATATTATTATTATAATAATATATATTCTGAAGATATATAATATAAATATATAATTAAAAATATTATTTAGTATAATTTAGTTTGAATTGATACTTGTCATTAAATAAATAAATTGTATAGAAAAAAGTTCAAACTTAAATGTGAAACTAATAAATATTATTACGTGGCGCGTTATGGTGCAAAGGACACGGAGCAGGGCACCAATGAGGGGGCAGATGATCTCCATTTAGAAAGCTCGGAATAGAAAACTTTAGAGACAAATCTTCAAACAAAATGCATGCACCTTTCCATTCTCTTATAATAAGAACATAATATGTCTAATAAATGCATATTATTCCATTCAATCAACCCTGATTTATATCTAATTTCAATTATGAAATGCATATATTCAACAACTCAGTTATGAAATATTAAGACTTAAAATCTTCAAATAACCGCAATAACAAAAAGAAAAAGGAGAGTAGAGCAAGTAAAGAAAGGAAAGAAAGCTCAACAATTAAAAGAAAAAACAAGTGAATCGCATTTAAGTGGAGTGGAGAGAGCATGGTGGGGAAAGGAACTAACCGAGCAAAGAGTAATCGGAGTCAATGGAACCAACGGAGTTAGAGAGAAAGGAGTCAATGGAGTCCAAGAGCGAAGGTTTATGGACCCCTAAAAATATAGCTTCAAATCACCATAGCTTCAAACCGGTCGAGAGAGGAAATGTCAGGGTCAAAGACGGTTTCTCTATCAAGATTTTCAATGCAAAGCTCCTACTTATAATCAAGAAAATTTTCGTATACAGGTGGTTTTAAACATGAATGATCTTGCGTCACTAAAGGACAAAAGATTTTATAAAGAAGTTGTTATTGGAAATGGTGTTTCTACAAACCTTGCAAAGCTTTTTTTTATAATAAACCTTGCAAAGTTACATGAATGTAATCCGGATCCTACTTACAACACAGTAGTCTCGGATGTTTTCGAGATCACGAGCAAAATTCAAAAATAAATCCTTAACAAAAGTATATTTATTACTTTAGATAAATAATTCAATATTATATTAATAAGTCGTAGAAAAATGAACAAATTTTTTCAAACATTATTTTTATTATTTTGTTAAGAAAACTCCTTACATACAAAAAAAAAATAAATTAAATTTGGGTATAATATGAGTCTTGATTTTGAACGATAAATGAAAAAAACATAAATAATAGTGTATTTTTGGACTAAATTGGATCATGGAAAAGGTATCGGCCTCATCAAAATTAAATTTTCAATATGTTTTGATCCATTAGAATTACTTAACGGTATTAGTTAAAGTGATTTTTGTTTGATGAATAATTAATCTATCAATTGACTTTAATTTGAGAGAATTATTAATGAGGTGTGCTAACATCGGTGCAAGTCGACATTGATAGTTTAGTAAATGAAATAACTCACACTAGTGTAAGTCAGTGTTGTCAATTAAATCAGTTAAAACCGATTAATGCTCACTACTACTAACGTATTTGATGTGATATGAATCAATGTAGTTGTGGTCTATATGTGTTAATTATTTTGAGTTATAATAGCAACATGTTAAATTAAGTTCCAGAGATAAATGAAACTTGATATAATCTAATTTTCAATTTTTAATTGTGAGAAGAGACTGTAAAAGATCTAATTGTTATGCTTATGTATTACAGTAAGTGACAAAATATTAGTCATAATCACAATCTTCACCCAAATTTCATGTGCATGTATTTGGCTCGACAATGAATGAATATGCTTTCTTTATTCTATTGACTATTGCCTCTAAGAAAACAAAAAGTTGTTGAAGGTAGTTGTAGCAAATGAATTATTTTACCATTAGATTAAGATTGAAGAAGCCTAAGAATTAAAGAATATTGGATAAATTGAAGAACACAATTTGAAAAAAAAATATGACTAAATTTAATTCGAAATTAAATAAATTAATGAGAAGGATGGAAAAGGGGATAGGAAATTAAGAGCTATGAAATAATTAAGAGCTTTTACAGTAGCTCAGCCTCGTAATTATTTCACTTTATTTATTATGAGGTGGTGGTGGTGGGTTGTTCTAATGGAGATTCATGCAACATATCCAGCTTTTACCTTCATTGCTTTCTGTTTGACCAAAAAAAAAACTAAACGATTAGTTGATATTGAACAATCATTATGCACAGAATCCATTTGAAAAACACAATAATTTCAAGGAAGACCCTAAATACTGTGATTGATGCTAAAAATACTGAAACAAAAGTACAGCAAATTGATTATACAATTGGAACATTGAAATTTAAGGCAGTAGAAAGCATGTTAAACTTGCCAAGTCATGATCAATATCCTCGTTGATAATTGAAGGTAAGACTACCTGAATTGAAGAGAATACTATGTGTAATTTTCAACATACAAAGTAATTATGTGCTATAAAAGAAAGCGTTGGGAGCTATGCAACCAAACAAATGATAACATCAATCGACACTGAACAATTTAGAAGCTTACTTTATCCTTCTCTGATTTCAGTAACTCCAAGCTCCTCCTGAAGAGACTCATTCAGCTTGTGCTCCTCTGGAATTTTACAAATGAAGATGATGTTTCATTTCTTTGACAACTGATGATATTCCAAGTATCATAATTGGAACTTCAAGGTGTACAAATATACCTTGCAAGCTCATCTGCAGATTCCCAAGTTTATCACATTCCTTTTCAGGTTCCATATTCAATTGCTTTATCTGTAATTCATGATTAGCTTGAATTGCCCCCAGGGGCCTATTTTTCTCTTCCAGCATATCTGCAAGCTCCTAGAAGACATTCATATAGTTCATTCATCATCTAAAGAAACAAATAGAAAAACAGGTGAAATGAGATGGGAAAACCAATAGAAAGTGTTTAGTATCACTAAGGCCAAAAATCAAAACAGCAGAAGGGTGCATGAATCATGACCAAGTGAATACCAATTATATCCAATCATTGCAAGAGTGCCATTACCTTTTCTCTTCCATCATGTTTAGAGGATACGCCATAGGCATGTTGATTTTTTACTAGACTTGCTGACTGGTCACCATTTCCCTGGAGAAGAACACATTAAGAATGCAGGTTATTGACCTGGTGGCAGTGGAATATTAATTCAAGACAAACTTGCAACAGATCCACTGGAAATAAATACATGTTCCAGGACAGGAACAGCACAAAAACCAATTAATATCATGTGAGCCACATATTTGAACAACTAAACCATCCAAGCATCCCAACCAACTCATTTCATGAAGGATAAGCATCAAGGCCACAAGACAAGAAGTAGGAGGCCAATTTTTCATTCTAAGACAACGATTCATTTCTGGATTCTCTATGGCATCTACCTAAACGGAGATTCAAGGTTGCCAAAGGTGTGAAACATGATATAATGAAAATCCATTTTACATTTGCTTCTTGCAAGATAATTACAGCATAAATAACAAGAGAAACAGCAAACGCAGTATGTTAGGTTTATTACATGGAACTACATGGGCCTTCTGAATTGCAGAACCTATTACAATAATTTCTCAATAAACAATTAACCTCAGACAACTCAAATTGAGTCTAAAAACTACATTGGATGCATTAATTCCATTACTTGATAATTTGGATCAACCAGAGTTGCATATGTCAAGCATGGATGATAACTTCTTAAAGTTTAAGACTACCTTTTAAAGTTTATGTATTTATTGAACTAGCTTCCCATAAAGTAGCTTCACTAACAAGTTATTTCACATCAAGAGAAGCCAACCGGACAAGCAGGCAAAATATACTATAATGGTACTTATCAAACAGAACCATAAAAAGTTCACACAAAATTATTAATGATTTGAGATAAAATCAACAAATCCAGTTTTTGGTTTCTTCGGCCAATAGTATCAAGGTGTTGGTTGCACAACATCTTCCTCGTCATCACTACAAAATCCAGACATAGCCAACGTTTGCGCTACGCTGTTAGCAGAATAGCAAAAAGAAGAAAACAACAGGAGTATATACCAACTAATTACCTCAAAACTCGGTATACAAAATGTTTGAGGAACTGTTGCAATGGGATTCAGAAGCTAGAGTGATCAAATGATGGGGGTCACATAAACATAGGCAAAAAAGAGATATAAATACATGTGAATATTTATTATTAATAAATATGGGCTGCATCGACAGAATGCCGAGTGACATTTAAAAACATTCATGCTCAGAACCAAAAATTTTAATTCACTTACCAATATAACACAATTTCAGGTTTTTGAAAGGGAGTACTGATTGCTTTCAAAGATAATGAACATATTAACAACAAACTGATCAGCACAGTGAGCTTTATTTTTCTTACCACGGCGTCCGCCACATCTTTGCTTTCCAACTGACTGCCTTCATTTTCTCCATGTAATTTACTTCCTACATTAAAACAAAATCTATGCTGTTAGAAAGATCTTGCATATTGTTTTCTTTACAATCTAATCAGTAACAGAACAAGCAACAAATAAAGCAATTACCTAATGATTTCAGAAAGTGCTGATGGGATGTCGGCAATGTCTCTTCTGAAACTGATATGAAACTAAAATGAAAATTGTATATTATTTAAGGCAGGAGGCCAAATTAAAGTTTTTCTTTTAATTTCTAAATATGTGACAAATGCAAGCAGAAGGTGGTAGGCAGCATAGACAAAGCAGAATTTCAAACCGTTTCAAGTGCTCATATTCAACAAATCCTTTGCTGATAAGCAGGTATGCCACTTTTGTAGCCAATTCTTCCATGCTCAACTGTAAATGATTATCGGCAACAAATTAAACCAAAAGACACTGTTTACCCAACAGAAAGAAACTCAAACGATAAGTAGAAAGTGATCAAGAACATCAAGGAAAACACACCTTAGGTAGGTCTTGACGATATTGGTCAATTTCAGGACCAACACTTTGAAGAACTTTAATCAAGTGTAACATAGAATTCATTGTTTCCAACTTATTCTTCAGCTCATGTATCTCCTTACTAGTAGAATCTAGTTTCATTTGTGATGCTTTTAGTGATTCTATCTCTAACAAAACCAATTGGAGAAGGGACGTGCTCCCACTCGAAGTAAAATCCTTGAAAAGAACTGGTGATGTAATTTCTTCTCGAGCTATCATCAATAAGGCAGTTGTCTCAACAAATTTTCCGCCCTTCATGTAGTGATATACTTCTTTTTCAACCTCTTTTGTGTTCTCAAAAAGAAACCTAAGAGACTCCAACTTTTCCTGACATTGATACAACACAAACAAACTAATAACAATAATAGAAATCTAGGATATATATATTCAAAGAAAATGCAATATAATAAGAGTTCATAGATAATTACCGACCATATCTAAGCACAAAAAAACAACCAACATGCAGATAGATTGTCTTGAAGACCAATCAACATTTTCATATCCCCTTCTGCAATAGAAAACAAACATGCAAACATAAATGAAAATAGATAATTAATACACTACTTCCCAACCCTGCTTCTATATGTAATAGATCAATAGAGCAATTAACCAAGTAGAAAAATATTCCAAACCAATACCTTATGTAGTCAAGAAATTTGTTTAAAGGTAACATGCCCTTATGTCTGATGTCAGTCCGAGCTCCATTGCGAATATATAAGTTGATCTACTCAGGAGGACCTGATGTAAAATGCAGTGGAGTTGAACCAAACACAGGATGAAGGGCATTAATGTCTACATCGAGACCTGTTTCTCCGGCTAATAGAGCAGTTGCACACTTTACTGCATTTCTTGCAGAGATATAAAAGAAAATTGAAGATAACATATTTTTTGATTGATACCAAGCATCATGAATTTCTGATCGTTTCCTCTGCTTCTTAATACGTTGAACAAATGCATCCTTATTATCAACGACTACCAAATCAAGAAGTTTCGTATCACCAAAAGGAAAATCATCATATGATAAACATATCTGTCAACATAATTTAAAAAAGAAAAGAGAGAAAGAATCCCATGATTAGTATGAGAATCATTAGAAGGTTGAATGGTAAATAAATGATTAAGTATAAGAATTCAAGCCGAAAAAAAAATAGAAAACGGAAAGCAAATACTAAAATAGTTATTTTATAACAGAGAACTAAGAGAAGGAAAAACTGATAAAAAAAATGAAACCCTTCAAAAGCATACCTCAAAGTCCGAGTCCGAGTCCGAGTCTTCCGAAGAAGGATATGCTCCAGATTAGGACATGATGAAACGAGATAGCAGTAAACCAAAATACAAAAAAAATGCCCTTCGGAAATAAAGCAAATGCAGTTGATATTAGAAATTGGGAATCAAAAGTTAGATATAAGCAGAAGCATCGATTCTAATTGTTCCAAGGAATACACAATCCTTTGTTGTAAAAAAATAGATTTGAGAGTTCAGTAAGAAATTTAGATGAAACTAAAAAAAAGAGTTACCTTGAAACAAGACTCTTGATGACGGCAAGAGATAAACCATAAAAGCAATATATATATATATATATATATATATATATATTAGATTGAGCTTACCTTAAACCTATCAAAACTACGTAGTTTGGTGTACATATACTTTTATATATTCAAAAAATAATCATACTTTTTAATAAAATAATGCAGTAGTTATACTTTTTTAATAAAATAGCATTATTTCAAGATTTAATGCTATTTTTTCTTCTAATTTATTAAATAAATGTTTCTTAGCCTCAACCTTCACCTCGTCAACATATTTCTAGACAGCAGCTTTCGCCAACTTATGTGCTTCCATCGCCACCACCACCTCTGTCTCCACCTCCCAAGAAAATAGATCCTCCTATTGTCACTCTAGATGATTTGTTTCGGAAAACCAAAGCAACTCCCGGATCTACTATTTGCCTTTGTCATATGAACAAGTTGCAACAAAGCCAGCAGCAGAGGGCAAAAACATCAAGCAGTAGAGATCAGGTTGTTCTATCGGTCGGTGGTCTGTATGTTAGATAATGGTAAAGAAGTGTCACATAATTGCATCTTTGCAGGTCTGCAGGTTTTGATTATTGGAAGGAATTGTTTCAGCCATGCGAAGGGAACTTATCCGGTGATTGATATCGGTTTTCTGACAGCTACTTTGGGCTTGAGTTTTTATTTCCGTGTAGCATTAATATCCTTAAAACTTAGAGCTCTCTTTTGTAATGGATTGGTTCTCCTGAATAATATCAGTTACTTTTATGAAACATGATTTTTTAGAATCTAACTCTGCATGTTTTGCATAGATTACTTAGCTCAAGTGGATGAGATTCGCCGGTAATTATCATCTTCTCCCACTCGTTTTATGCATGCATGTGTAGTTTTAGTGAGGGTTTTATTTGTGCAACGTGGAGCTGAGCTTGGTGGAGGGATGACTCGGGATTAATAAGAATCTCCTCTCTGCCACGTAAATTTTATGTTTACATTATATAAGCTGCCCTAAAGTGATCAACTTTATTGGGGTCGATATGCATTTTTTGAACTGAAATGAGCTTATTCTTTTATTTTGGTTATTGGATTTTATTTTTCAGTTCAAATTGGATCATATTGGAAGATCAGTTTTTTTTTTTAGGATAAATTGGAGAGTTTCGCACAGATGAATTTTGATGAGTTTTAAGGGTGTGTCTGGAAAGTTATATAAATTATATTGGATTTTGGTTTACTTATAATTACCTAACTTATAAATATTTTTACTTCAAATATAATAATTAATGGAATGAATTATAATATTTGATTAAACATGTAATAATTGTATAATTATATGCAATTATGTTTAAATCTAATTAGGTAATATTTTAAACGTATTAATATTTTTAATGAATTATAATTTAATAGTATTTTTTATATGTAAATATTTAAGGTTAAAGATTATATAAGATTTTTAAATAATTTAAAAATCCTGGAGGCTATTTTTAAATAGTAATTTAAATAAGAGAAAATCGCCTCAGTGACCAAAATTCTCATATAATATACGATTTTAACCAACTTTTTTTGTATTTGCCAAAATGACCAACAAAATCGCAATGCGATCGCTAATTCGCAACGCGATCTCCATTATCGCAAATTCGCGTTGCATTTGCGATAGTTGAAAATCGCGTTGCGATGGTTACAGTGTCGTTGCGATGGTCCCAATTCGCAATGCGAATAAGTAAATCGCAACGCGAATTGGGAAAATCACAATGCGATACTGACTATCGCAATGCGATACTGACTATCGCAATGCGATACTTACTATCGCAATGCGATAATACAAAATCGCAACGAGATACTGACTTTCGCAACGCGATTCTGACTTTCGCAACGCGATAATACATAATCGCAATGCGATTTTCAAAGCGCCATTAGTATCCTGGCCAAGTATTTTATTTTTAAATTCCAAACACGAATATTAATATATTGGAACACTAAACCGTCCACAGTATATCCCGTAATCGCAACTCATAACCTAAAACCTAAAATCACAACTCAGTCCCATCTCCATCTCTCACTCTCTCACCCATCTCCGATGAAATCCGTCCCCATCTCCGGCAAAATCCGTCTATCTCCATCTCTCAGAGCCACCCTCACAATCAGAAATGGAAAATCAACCAAATCAACCAACGAGGGTTAGTTTTTTTAATTATTTTCTTTTTGAAATTTTTGCATTATTATTAGGTTTTTCATATTGAAATTGATGATAAGTTTACTGGTAATTTCAATAATAGATTAATCATTTCACTTAGATTTCTTATTAAATCAACCGAGAATCGTAACGCGAAATGTAAATCGCAACGCGATTTTAGTTTCACGTTGCAATTCTCTCGTTGCGATAGTCAAATTCGCGTTGCGATAGTCATTTTCGTGTTGCGATTTTCATTTTCAGAAACTATTCTTCTTCTGCAAATTGAAACTTGAATGAATTGCATTACTTCAACCAAAAAACAAAGACAAATACGAAATTCACAGTGTTGCAAATTTAAGTTTGAAGAATAAACTACTACTCTTTATGTTTATTATTGTTTTTGGTATATATTCACAATGTAGTTTTTGGTATATCTAACTTAGTATGTTTATTGTTTTTGTAGAACTTTTATTCGGCTCAATTGACCTTAAGAAATAAAGTCAGCCTGGCCAAAACAATTGCGTCGAAGCTTTCACCTGCACAAAGAAAAATGTTTGAGGATACATGCTTCGGGCCATGGCTGAAAGTACAACATCCCGGTGGAGATGCGATGTTGACACACCTGTTTCTTCAAACCATGACTAGCGATCTACCAGAGACTATACAACTTCGTGATGAAGAGATATTGTTTGATTTTCCACCGGCGTATACGTGTTTTGGGCGGGAGGAGTTTTGCTTAATCACAGGTCTACGCTTCGGACACGATGATGTAGGTCGGTACACTAGACACACTACCCGCCCATCATGGCTATCCCGGGTTTTTCTTGAGCTGGAGAGGCCGAATCTACACGTAGAAGACCTGACAAGATTGTTGAATAAGAAAGATGGTTTTACTCGGATGGATGACGTCGACGTTGTCCGAGTATGCCTTCTAATTCTTTTGCATGCCGGCTTTTTAGGCAGAGAGGCCAGACAACCTATTCCAAATGATCTAATCAAATTGGTAGAAGACCTAAATGCGTGGAACCTGTTTCCGTGGGGCTCGTATTTATGGAAAGCTACATGGAATAAGTTATCGTCTGCCTTGGATGATCGAAAAAGTTTGCATGGCGATGGTTCCAAATACACTTTGACAGGCTTTATTTGGGCCTTTAAGGTAAGAATTTTTATATAATGTTTCCAAAATTATAAGTAATTATTTAACAATTACTAATGTTTGTTATTATATTGTTTGTAGATTTGGATATTTGAGGCCTTTCCCGCCATGAAGACATATTCAATAAAAACTTCAAATGATATTCCCAGGGCTATTTCCTGGAAGAGGAAACGAACCTTGCAATGGGAAGATTTACTACGGTATACGACAATAAATAATGCAAGTTAACATAAATACTACCATATGTTTATAAACAAGTTATTACTAGTACACGTTTAACTTTGTTTGAGCTTTTATATTGTTAGGAGGCCAACACTCCTCTACAGAGGCTGACACCCACGGAAGCTGAGCTTGCCACTGATTGGTGGCAAGCTAGTAAGCATTTTTTTGATGGAACGGTTGATGAGTAACCTCCACTTCGGGAGCCATCACCTCGCCCAGAGCTATCACCTCACCCAGAGCCATCATCTGATCGACCCGACTATACACCTCCACAACGACAGCCATCACCTATTCTGTCACATCATCGAGCTTCTTCTCCACCATCACCGCAAGATAGGCGACCGGCAAAAATTTCACGACGTTTATCTCCCTGTTCTCCACCTCCACCTCAACGGGATGAGTTAGGGGAGTTACGTGATGAGGTCAATGCCTTGCGTGAGGAGGTCGGTACTTTACGCAAAGACGATGGTGCATGGCGTGTTGAGGTGTCTACATTACGCGGTGAGGTAGCCGCTCTACGTGAGATGGTAGCATCGTTGCAGAATGAGGTTCATACTCTACGCAACGAGGTAAGTTTAAGATTTTTCATACTCGTAATTCATTCGGTTGCTGCCAATACTGCTAAACTGTTTTTGTTAGTATTTGTTTTTGGTTTTGTTTTTGTCTTTTGGTTGAAGTAATGCAATCCATTCAAGTTTCAATTTGCAGAAGAAGAATAGTTTACTTGAGCAACACGAAAATGACTATCGCAATGCGGAAATGGCTATCGCAATGCGAAATGAAAATCGCAACGACAAAATTGCAATGCGAAATGAAATCGCAACGACAAAATCGCAACGCGAAACACAAATCGCAGTTGCGATAGTCATTTTCGCGTTGCGATTTTAAGTTTCGTGCTGCGAAAGTAAACTATTCTTCTTCTGGAATGTTTATATATGTTGTCTTTTTAAATGTTTATATAAGTGCTTACTTCTGGAATGTTATCTGAGCATTTTGTGAACTATGATAGAATAATGACTTGGGTGAATACAATGCTAGTTTGAAACATATTTGTCTTTGTTTAATATCATGTCTGTTTATTTACTGATTTATGTATTAATTTTTTTTAGCGGCCCGATAAGGTGGATGCTTTACGTCGGGTTTTCCTTGCACGACGGAGTTCACGCATCAGACGGCGTGGACGTGCTATTACGTCTCCGTTCACCCCAATGGTGCGAAGACTCTGCAAGAAGAAGCCCGACTCACCTGTCATCCCTCAAGAGTCCCCTCCAATCGTTCAAGAGGCCCCTATCCTCCCTCAAGAGTCCCCCCCACCGTTCAAGAGGCCACTGTCATCGTTGAAGAGGTCCCTCTCACCATTCCAGAGCCCGATTCACATGGGGTAATATATCGAAGTATTGAGAAACCCCCACCGGTTTCGGACATGATGGATTAGAGTTGGCTCTCGTATGAGTTACCGGCTAGTACCCTTCCGG